AGTGTGTGTGTGTGTGTGTGTGTGTGTGTGTGTGTGTGTATGAGTAATGTGTGTGTGTGTGTGTGTGTGTTTGATTGACAGGCCTTTGAGGCCATCAGGAGGGTTGCTGGTTCATATGAGTCCAGGTTTTTCTTCATTCATGTCTTTTGTGAGTCACTGGTGCTCGATCTGCATGTGTGATGATAGGAAGCAGATCCAGTATCACCAGCGCTGCCTGCTTCCCCCAAACCCCCGAAAACAAGACGAGAAGATGAGGGAACTCGCTTTGTGAAAAATCAGGGTGAGCAGAAATACATCTGCACTGAGATGTCAGGAGGAAGTGATGTCACTGAGACGCTCGTTGACCATTTAGACAGACAGTGATGAGCGTCTCTCTCGACCCTCATGTGTGTGTGTGTGTGTGTGTGTGTGTGTGTGTGTTTGAGGATTCGTCGTGTTCAAGTGTTTCTGCTGCTTTCTGAGCTCATTAGTGACTGTTTTACTTCTGAGTCGGACTGTGTTAGTTTTGGGGCTCCGACATCGCCAGCCCACGATAAAATAAATAGACGAGAGAGGGAGAGAGAGTGTGTGTGTGTGTGTGTGTGTGAAGGAGACTTTGTGTTCGCAGACAGATGAAAGTGGACCGCAACGCCCCCCTCGCTGTCTCTGCCCCACATGCTTCTAGTTAGAGTGACCCAAACCAGCGAACCACACACACACACATTTCTTTGAAAGTCAATGGTTTTATGAGGAGCAGCCCTCTCTTGGCGAGTGTGTGTGTGTGTGTGTGTGTGTGTGTGTGTGTGTGCATGTTTCCAGCTTTACACGAGACGCCTACCTAGACAGCACTCTAAAGTCAACATGGAATCAGAATGCATTATAAATAAACATGTTTATTCACTCTTATTCATCAAAGACGCATTAAATTTATCAAAAGTGACAGTAAAGACATTTATAATGTTATTTCTATTTCAAATAAATGCTGTTCTTTTGAACTTTCTATTCATTAAAGAATTCTAAAAGATAAAATGCATCACAGTTTCCTCAAAAATATTGTGCAGCACAACTGTTTTCAACATTGATAATAATCAGAAATGTTTCTTGAGCAGCAAATCAGCATA